GATATATCTGGTAACCGATCATCATTTTTGGTACCTGGGCATATTATTTCATTAAAAAAGTTATATTTTTCAAAGTCCCGGACTTTGTCTATGGAAGTTCGCAGGGCTGTGGTGGGGACATCTATCAACCGAACGCGTCCCCGTACACACAGCACTGTACGCAGGGCTAGTCTGCCCTTAGAATATGGCCAGTGTATGTGTTTACCAAACGGAAGTGCCAGCAACTAAATTCAATCTCGTACGTTTAATCATAGTCTATGGTTTAATCGTCTTTTATCTACTACTTCCATTTTGTTGCTTCATCAGTTGTTCATCCTTATCGTAATTTACTTTTTCTGATACGATTATGCAATAAAGATTATTATTATTATTTACTACTACAAACATGGTAGCCTAGTCTAATTTGGTGCGATATTATTATTGCGAAGCCGTGCTTGGGCTATGACTTTTACATTTTGTAATAATAAATATCTAAAAAAAATCGTCTCTTATCCTCAGTGACAATTTGTATTTCATTCAAAATTGATCATCTAGCATAAATTCATAATAATTAATAATCTAGTTACAATGTCACAGTATGACGGAGTGAGACATCAGAGTATTGTCAGTGGAACTATTGCTAAAATAGCAGCAGATACAAATATATCATTGCGCATGCATCAAATGTTAATTTTATTGACACCACGAGTTTATATTTTTTGTTTTGCGTACACTGTCTGACGCTTCTGCTTTTTTGTGATATTTGCTCAAGTTCGTTAGGATTTTTAAAAATTTCAACACATTTTTTGGAGGGACTGAATAAATAATTCAGCAAATACACACATAAGCTTGCCAAAATAAATCATTGTTATCACAGTCCTAGTTATCAGACGACATATAACCCAAGAAGCTCAAGACAACATAAGGCAGCGCATACAATGAAAAAGGCTTGACAGTATTAAACGTAACGCTGTGGTTATATGGGTTTTTGATCTGCTCCATCTTGTGCTCACTGTGATGATATGCAAGTTATGAATTTATAGATAAGTTATACATTTTTTTTGTTGAGAGCAGTATGAATATAGTGTGCAACATTGGTTAGTCTGTTTCAGGTATATAAAATTGTCAGTTTTTTTAATAGTTTGTGATGGAAAGTTATTTTGAACAGCAGGTCTTAGCATAAAATGTTGTATTTGCATTCAAAAATACATTTCATCTTCCACAAGGTTGCTATCACACAGTCACTTGAACAATTTTTATTGAACTGCTTTCACTGTTTGATATCTTTGGCCCAAATTTGACCTGCTTCACTGGCCCATGTGTGTTACCACATCATAGAACAAATTAACACAGAGATATACATGTAATCAAGTATGCTCCAGTTTACCGAGTTTCATTGCCTGTGGCTGCTACTACTTTGTTTGTACAATTTCGTGAGTTGGTTAAAATCACACAAATTTTGCATCAGCGAACATGTTGCTGGGGTCATAAAGACACTGAGTCGCAACAATTTCCCGAATTTTGATCTCATTAACACCAATAAATCCTGAAATGGCAAAATTTCTGGCAGCAACAATTCAATACTCTACAGTATGGTGTCCTTACAGCATGACATTTTAGCTTGCATGTTATTTTTAGCTAATTTAGCTAATCTGTAATTTTGTACTTCAAGATGTTGCTAATTGTACTCCTGCCAGCTAAATGTACTTTTACAATGATTTGACCAGTTAAAATAAAGTACTACTGTAAAATTTGTATAAGAAACCGCATCCCTAATAGAAGTCGCACCTATTCTTTTTGAATAATTGAGAATAAAAAATTCATTATTCCTCATATGTGTACATGCTCTAATAGAAGCCGCATCCCTTCTGTTGCGGCTTCTAATACAGATTTTACAGAAGTATATTTCCCAAAATGAAATTGTTGGCACTCCAGCTAAATTAAGAATCTGGTACTTCAGCCATTGAGTCAAATTTGGTAGAATTTCATAAAGCTATTCAACACGTTTTACAGTAAATAATCAAGGTGGTATTACCCAGAGAAATAGGTTTGATCTAATTTTAGCAAATCCACTTCACCGATCAGTTTTACCGCAGTGAACGAAGTGGATTTACCACGCATGTTATAATCTGATAAATTTTCACCAGCAATTTGGTTAGTGGAAATACCAAACATATTTTAGTAACCATGTTTGCAAAACATTATATGTCTTGATATCAGCTGAGATGTTACTAGGTCATGTGCAATATAATAAAAGCACTGTCAGTTGAAATTTGAAATGCCCGTATAGTTCTGTTCACTCTGTCCCATTCACCCAATTATAATACGATTTACTTATTTACTCACTTACAATGTAGGTACATGTATATGGTCCAATGTTTTTTAATTTTGTTTCCATATTTTATTTATTTGTTTTTTTCTTTCTGTTATTAGGTTTGTCTATATATACTGTAAAATGACTAATTTTCACTGGGTTTAAATTTCACTGATTTACCATTTCAGGCATATTCAGTGGGTTTTAAATTCACGGTTTTATCATTTAGATAATGTGTTCTATGCTAAATTTTACATATTCACTGTGTTTTAATTTAGCGCATTTTTCCAGTCAGCGAAATAAGCTAAATTAAAACCCAGTGAATAATTACCCCTTTTACAGTAGTGTTGATTGGTTCAGCCATGTATTAACAAAAATTCTATAATTTACAAATATGTACCTGCGCATCGATGTAGCTCCCAAAATAGTTTTTTGATACATGTTCCATACCTTGTTTTAAAATATACCTCTCTTTACATAAGCATATGTGCTACTAATGTAGAAAATACAGTATGTTTTTAGTTTATTAGTCCAGTATACAATAAATGTAACTGTAATGGCTTACATGTGCTTCTAATAGAGCAAATATAGTATATGATTTTCACACTGAAGTAACTGGCATTGACAATGCTATAGCTTTTTAGCTCCGCTGTCGACTTTGTCGTATGAGTGATTGTTCGTCGTCCGTGTCAATGTTTTACTTTTTTGACTTCTTTTTGATAACTAAAAGTCTGAATGCTTTAATACTTGGTGTATATGTACCTTTGGTAGATTCGTTCATTTAATAATGATATCTTCAATTCTCTAATTTTGGTGAATATTTTTGTCATTTTTGGTAAAAAGTGATATTTCCGACTTCTTGTTAAAAATCATAAGTCCAATTGCTTTGATATTGAACATGTGGACCTTTCTCAGATTTGTTCATTTTGTGATTATATCTTTATTTCCTAATTTTAATGATTATTTTTGTCTTTTTTGGTAAAAAGTGATATTTTCGAATTCTTGTTGAAAACAGTCCCATTGCTTTGATTGAAATGTGCATTGCTAACAGCGGAGCTATCTCAGCCGAGAGGCTGCTTGTTTATATTTATTTTCACGCATTTTTTTCTCCAAAGGCATTTTAAAACTGAAGTATACATTTTTTGTTTCGCTGTAATTATCGTCATGCTGATAGCATTGAGATGCAATGGATAAACACCATTGCTGTGCTGTTATCCATAACTAACTTTTCAGTGGCAAAATACACATGTAAAATGCTCAGTTAATTAAAAATAAAAAAAAACCTGGAAATTACAGAAAAATCTGCAACAAGATGCTGTTTTTAAACACCACAGAAAAATCAAGCACTGCGATGCCATCTTGGTTACCTTAATCCGAAACCCCCTTGTCAGCTAGCATGCATCTGTAGCAATGTCGCAAAGTACTTTGTACGGCCGTGCTCGGCGATCTCTTATGAAAGTGACGTTAATCGTCCACAAAAATGAGGTTTCCGTCATCGCCTCCATGTAGCATAACATCGCTATGGAGGGAAGTGCATCCAGATGCGGTCGGAAACTGTAGTAATGAATCAAATGAAAGCAAAACTTTGTCGGTGATGCATAATTGTGTGCTACTACAATCAGTTTCTTGTTGCAATGCTACATCGATGTGAACAAATAACTGCAAATCCTTCTTTGCCATTCATGTGCATGATGACTCATAATAAATATAACGGCAAATAGATGTGATTTCAATAATGAAATTATTATTATTATCATCATATGTGTATTGTCTGCCATGTTTGGGTCAAATAACAAATGTTGGCACATGCTGAGTAGTGTATTTGATGAAAACAATGGTCTTGACATAAGCCAGGGATTTTTTTAAACAAGGGAACAGGGGTGCAGCACCCTCATGCCATGGCCATGCGCTCCCTTACCCTGGGGAGCAGATTGTCTGGCAACCATAAAATTCTGATTGATCAGGGATCACATGTGACCACAGTCTTCAACTGTGACCTGTCTGATAGTAATTTTGGCCCCAAGGAAACCATAAAATGCTTCATTTTAACTTAGAATTATCAAAAACTCTACACTCTGGTAAGCGGGAGAACCCTATCTTCCCTACTTGGTGGCTCCGCTGAATTGCAGTGCTCCCTTTTGCAGTTCTTTTCTAGAAATACCCCTGTAAGCCTACACTCAAGCAGTGTGCAGCTCTGGGGTACAGCTCGATTCAGTGTTCTAATATGAACTGGAATGTTGTATGTGCCGTACAGCTGCACCAGGGAAGAGAGCACACACAGAGTGGCACTGGCTCTGGTATAAATATTTCTTTGCTAGACTGGAGCTGTTGAAATTAGGTTTATAAAACCATGAAGGTTGAAAAAGACATCCATGATGAAAATGAATAAAATTCAATAAATGCTTTTAAACTTGTATATTTGCATACAGTTTTACCCGGTAGTCATCCAAAAGATGAAGCCGAGGTTGACAATGAGCTCTGAGGTTAACTAAAACTGTACGTTTACTGTTGTTGGAGTGAATATTTGTGAATTGTCACTGGTGTGAATAGCATTCTACCTTTAATGTGTGCAAATTTACACTACTTAAAACAAAATTCCTGAGTTGTCCATCTTCATTGTTATAGTAAGCACATATTTATAGTATTTATAACAAGGTCAGTGGAATATATAGATAAACTGTCTGATACAAAGTGATAGGAAGCCTAGGAAGTAAACATAACAATATGTCACAGGATGTCCAATTGTGTGAAAAGCTAAAAAAAAAAGATACTCAGGTCAGTTTTTTATTTCCCATGAATATAATATAATATAATATTATCTAATATATTATTAAATATTATTAAAAAGCTACACCGTATGAGAAGGAATTTGAAAATAATGTAACCACTAATACCATCCACTTCCCTGCTTTATAATAGTTTTAATACTGGGCTTGAAATTAACAAATTTATTGGAAGCCGATGGCTATATTTGGTAGTCCTATGGCTATATTTGGTAGTCCTATGGCTATATTTGGTAGTCCCATGGCTATATTTGGTAGTCCTATGGCTATATTTGGTAGTCCCATGGCTATATTGGGTAGTCCTATGGCTATATTTGGTAGTCCTATGGCTATATTTGGTAGTCCTATGGCTATATTTGGTAGTCTCATGGCTATATTTGGTAGTCCTATGGCTATATTTGGTAGTCCCATGGCTATATTTGGTAGTCCCATAGCTATATTTGGTAGTCCTATGGCTATATTTGGTAGTCTCATGGCTATATTTGGTAGTCCTATGGCTATATTTGGTAGTCCCATGGCTATATTTGGTAGTCCCATGGCTATATTTGGTAGTCCCATGGCTATATTTGGTAGTCCTTTGGCTATATTTGGTAGTCCCATAGCTATATTTGGTAGTCTTTTTGCTATATTTGGTAGTCCTATGGCTATATTTGGTAGTCCCATGGCTATATTTGGTAGTCTCATGGCTATATTTGGTAGTCCTATGGCTATATTTGGTAGTCCTTTGGCTATATTTGGTAGTCCCATGGCTATATTTGGTAGTCCTATGGCTATATTTGGTAGTCCCATGGCTATATTTGGTAGTCCTATGGCTATATTTGGTAGTCCCATAGCTATATTTGGTAGTCCCATAGCTATATTTGGTAGTCCTTTGGCTATATTTGGTAGTCCCATAACTATATTTGGTAGTCCCATGGCTATATTTGGTAGTCCTTTGGCTATATTTGGTAGTCCCATAGCTATATTTGGTAGTCCCATGGCTATATTTGGTAGTCCCATAGCTGTATTTGGTAGTCCTTTGGCTATATTTGGTAGTCCTATGGCTATATTTGGTAGTCCCATAGCTATATTTGGTAGTCCCATAGCTGTATTTGGTAGTCCTATGGCTATATTTGGTAGTCCTATGGCTATATTTGGTAGTCCTATGGCTATATTTGGTAGTCCTATGGCTATATTTGGTAGTCCCATGGCTATATTTGGTAGTCCCATGGCTATATTTGGTAGTCCCATGGCTATATTTGGTAGTCCCATGGCTATATTTGGTAGTCCCATAGCTATATTTGGTAGTCCCATAGCTGTATTTGGTAGTCCTATGGCTATATTTGGTAGTCCTATGGCTATATTTGGTAGTCCTATGGCTATATTTGGTAGTCCCATAGCTATATTTGGTAGTCCCATAGCTGTATTTGGTAGTCCTATGGCTATATTTGGTAGTCCTATGGCTATATTTGGTAGTCCTATGGCTATATTTGGTAGTCCTATGGCTATATTTGGTAGTCCTATGGCTATATTTGGTAGTCCCATGGCTATATTTGGTAGTCCCATGGCTATATTTGGTAGTCCCATGGCTATATTTGGTAGTCCCATGGCTATATTTGGTAGTCCTATGGCTATATTTGGTAGTCCCATGGCTATATTTGGTAGTCCCATGGCTATATTTGGTAGTCCTATGGCTATATTTGGTAGTCCCATGGCTATATTTGGTAGTCCCATAGCTATATTTGGTAGTCTTTTGGCTATATTTGGTAGTCCTATGGCTATATTTGGTACTGTAAAGGGGGTAATTATTCACTGGGTTTTAATTTAGCTTATTTCGCTGACTGGAAAAATGCGCTAAATTAAAACACAGTGAATATGTAAAATTTAGCATAGAACACATTATCTAAATGACGAAACCGTGAATTTAAAACCCACTGAATATGCCTGAAATGGTAAATCAGTGAAATTTAAACCCAGTGAAAATTAGTCATTTTACAGTAGTCCTATGGCTATATTTGGTAGTCCTATGGCTATATTTGGTAGTCCTATGGCTATATTTGGTAGTTCCATAGCTATATTTGGTAGTCCCATGGCTATATTTGGTAGTCCCATGGCTATATTTGGTAGTCCCATGGCTATATTTGGTAGTCCCATGGCTATATTTGGTAGTCCCATGGCTATATTTGGTAGTCCCATAGCTATATTTGGTAGTCCCATGGCTATATTTGGTAGTCCCATGGCTATATTTGGTAGTCCCATGGCTATATTTGGTAGTCCCATGGCTATATTTGGTAGTCCCATGGCTATATTTGGTAGTCCCATGGCTATATTTGGTAGTCCCATGGCTATATTTGGTAGTCCCATGGCTATATTTGGTAGTCCCATGGCTATATTTGGTAGTCCCATGGCTATATTTGGTAGTCCCATGGCTATATTTGGTAGTCCCATGGCTATATTTGGTAGTCCCATGGCTATATTGGGTAGTCTCATGGCTATATTTGGTAGTCCCATGGCTATATTTGGTAGTCCCATGGCTATATTTGGTAGTCCCATAGCTATATTTGGTAGTCTTTTTGCTATATTTGGTAGTCCCATGGCTATATTTGGTAGTCCTATGGCTATATTTGGTAGTCCTATGGCTATATTTGGTAGTCCTATGGCTATATTTGGTAGTCCTATGGCTATATTTGGTAGTCCTATGGCTATATTTGGTAGTCCTTTGGCTATATTTGGTAGTCCTATGGCTATATTTCGTAGTCCCATAGCTATATTTGGTAGTCCTTTGGCTATATTTGGTAGTCCTATGGCTATATTTGGTAGTCCCATAGCTATATTTGGTAGTCCCATAGCTGTATTTGGTAGTCCTTTGGCTATATTTGGTAGTCCTATGGCTATATTTGGTAGTCCCATGGCTAAATTTGGTTGTGCCATGGCTATATTTGGTCGTCCCATGGCTATATTTGGTCGTCCCATGGCTATATTTGGTAGTCCCATGCCTATATTTGGTAGTCCCATGCTTATATTTGGTAGTCCCATGCCTATATTTGGTACAGTTTTAATTAATATTAGACACTGACAGCAATTAATGAGATCACTAATCCAGTTAATGATCATAATACTGTCAATTATTACATATGTACTGCAGTTTATTTTGATTTGTCCCTGAAATCAAAATCGGTATTTCCACACCTCATATGCAAATGAGTCTGAGAGCAAACAATATAGTCCCTTCAGGAGTACCGCTTTTTTCGAAACATAGCAGAAATAAACAATATTTAAGAAGTGCGATATTTTTCTCTTGGGGTACATGAATATACTTGCCGAGTGAAATGAAATTTGAACAACAGTAATGGTACTCTTTGGCAGTCACTTATTTTGACAAAAGCTAATTTGCATATCATCCATGCAATAATATTTTCGGTATTTTCACGGTCAATATGCAAATGAACATGGTATTTCCATTGCCTACCAAACTATTTTTATTTTGTAAACACATTTTCGTCTGCTATTTTTGTTCGCAAATAATGCAGCCACTGATAGTCAACCTACCATTCCATCACCCATGCCTATTACTGTGACAAGATCTGAACACTATTTAGACTATGCTATCTCAACACTACATGCCAATTATGACTGTTTTCTGTTTTATACATTTTCACAGGAAATCATGCAAGCTCTTCTACAAATCTGACCCCATCAAGATAGTACGAGCACAGGGTCAATATATGTATGATGAAAAAAACAACAGATATCTAGATTGCATCAACAATGTGGCACATGGTGAGTATTAACGAAATATATTTACTGTGTATATTTGACAAAATAAACATACTTTGTATTACAATACTGTAGAATACTTTATTTTCGCTTGGAAATTATTTTCGCTATTTTTCGCTGAATGGATGATTCCGATTCAAAAATCAGTGAATATAAATTCCATACAAAACGCCCAAATAGCCTTTTCAGCGAAAATTAATTCCAGCGAAAATAAAGTATTCCACAGTATTATAGAACCCATAGTTGGTAACACACATAGTTGGCCTCTATTAAGAACTTAATTATTAAATATAAGTTTAAATAACTTTTAGCTGTTAAATGTATGCTTTAAAAATACTATAAAATGTAAAAGAGGTTCATTGCAGCAATGTGATGACTGAATATCAATTTTTTAGCTCCGCTGTCGACTTTGTCGAGCGGAGCTTATCATATGAGTGACTTCTTCTTGAAAACTACAAGCCTGAATGCTTTGATACTTGGTGTATATGTACCTTGGGTAGACCTCTCTCAGATTTGTTCATTTCATGATGATATCTTCAATTCTCTAATTTTGGTGAATATTTTTGTCATTTTTAGTAAAAAGTGATATTTTCAACTTCTTGTGAAAAACCGCAAGTCCAATTGCTTTGATATTACATATATAGGTACTACATGTAGACCTCTCTCAGATTTGTTCATTTCGTGATGATATCTTCAATTCTCTAATTTTGGTGAATATTTTTGTCATTTTTGGTAAAAAGTGATATTTTCGACTTCTTGTTAAAAACCAATAGTTCAATTGCTTTGATATTACATATATAGATACTACATGTAGACCTTTCTCAGATTTGTTCATTTTGTAATGATATCTTTAATTCTCTAATTTTGGTGAATATTTTTGTAATTTTTGGTAAAAAGTGATATTTTCGTCGTCTTGTTGAAAACCGCAAGTCCAATTGCTTTGATATTACATATATAGGTACTACATGTGGACCTCTCTCAGATTTGTTCATTTTGTAATGATATCTTTAATTCTCTAATTTTGGTGAATATTTTTGTATTTTTTGGTAAAAAGTGATATTTTCGACTTCTTGTTGAAAACCGCAAGTCCAATTGCTTTGATATTACATATATAGGTACTACATGTGGACCTCTCTCAGATTTGTTCATTTTATAATGATATCTTTAATTTTCTAATTTTGGTGAATATTTTTGTCATTTTTGGTAAAAAGTGATATTTTCGACTTCTTGTTGAAAACTACAAGCCTGAATGCTTTGATACTTGGTGTCTATGTACCTTGGGTAGACCTCTCTCAGATTTGTTCATTTCATGATTTCTAATTTTGGTGAATATTTTTGTCATTCTTGTTAAAAACCGCAAGTCCAATTGCTTTGATATTACATGTGTACATATATAGGTACTACATGTGGACCTCTTTCAGATTTGTTCATATCATGATGATATCTTCAATTCTCTAATTTTGGTGAATATTTTTGTCATTTTTGGTAAAAAGTGATATTTTCAACTTCTTGTTAAAAACCGCAAGTCCAATTGCTTTGATATTACATATATAGGTACTACATGTGGACCTCTCTCAGATTTGTTTATTTTATAATGATATCTTTAATTCTCTAATTTTGGTGAATATTTTTGTAATTTTTGGTAAAAAGTGATATTTTCGACTTCTTGTTGAAAACCGCAAGTCCAATTGCTTTGATATTACATATATAGGTACTACATGTGGACCTTTCTCAGATTTGTTCATTTCATGATGATATTTTTAATTCTCTAATTTTGATGAATATTTTTGTAATTTTTGGTAAAAAGTGATATTTTCGACTTCTTGTTGAAAACCGCAAGTCCAATTGCTTTGATATATTATACATATAGGTACTACATGTGGACCTCTCTCAGATTTGTTCATTTTCTAATGATATCTTCTGTTCTTTAATTGCCATGTGCATTGCTAACAGCGGAGCTATCTCAGCCGACAGGCTGCTTGTTTTTAAATAAGGAAACATTACACTAATAAAAGAATATACCGTTAATGTTACCGACTGTAAAAGTTTGAATCATTGCCTTTCACTCAGCCCTGGAGTAATTCTTGTCAGTTTGAACACTAATCTAATATGTTTGTGTACCAGTCAAGTAATTATACACATTTAAAGTGCGGTGGTCGTCAGCACGTGTATGAATTTGATGTAAATAAACAATGTATTTTACACGCGTTGTATACGTCACTATGAGTCCCATAACGAACAGGACACGGTGCGACGACCACCGCCCTTTGAATGATGTTTTGATCAAATTGTTATCAACTGTTAAATATTTCTTCTTTTCACATATGATAACATTTAAAATATCTCAACCAAATTCAATCTGTCTACACCTCACTCGTATTTATTTTGAACATATACATGCTAAAACTGAATAAGATTAGTTAAAACAAATGCATATTTAACTTGTATAAAATCACAGAAAAAAGAAATCTCTGTCACTGAAGAGATGCTGCTGCATGAGAGTAGGTATCTTTGATATCTTGAGGGGATATGCAACTAGCAAAAATGTGAGAAATTTGAAGTACATGTACTACAGATGTTTAATATTGCTGAGGGAAAGTTTCATTAAATAAATAGCAAGGAGAAAATTAAGAGTGGTGTCTAAACTTGTTCCCATAATAACTTTCTGATTTTCTCCATACATCCGCAAGCTGTTATTTTTTAATTGAAAATTTGTCATAGCACAAAGGTTGAGAATTTGAATACTAGCCAGGCACTTGTTAACCACATCCATCCGATCACTGGTAGCATAGTGGTTGTCGCATCAGACTCATGATCGGTAGACCCAAGTTCAAATCCTACCTTAGGCTGTACCTCAAAAGGGTCGACCCCTATCCTGGGTGAGAGTGCCACAGACTCAATGGGAACCCCAATTCCACTGACCGAGATTCATTCACTAATGAATGCGACTTTGGGGTAACCTTGGTTAAGGTTCGCAGGTGCTTGTGTTCGACCGAGCCTGGTTGACGCTATGTGTCAGCACTAGCAACAAAAACAAAAGTCAGGAGAGACAACAGTGACATTCAATGTCCTAAACTGTCGCCTGGCACAAAAACATTTAAAAAAAAAAAAAAACCACATCCATCCTTGGTTTATATTTCTATCCCTATTTCAGTTGGTCATTGTCATCCTGATGTAGTGAAGGCAGGTGTGGAACAGATGAAAGTACTCAACACAAACTCCCGTTTTCTCCATGATAATTTGGCTATGTATGCAGACAAATTATGCTCGCTTTTTCCATCAAAGCTGTCTGTCTGTTATTTTACAAATTCAGGGTAAGCAAGTTAAATACATATCGACTCATACCAACATGTCAGAAATAATAACTGATTATATTTAAAAACTGACTGTTTTGTCAAATTCATAGGACAATTTGAAACCAAAACTCAGGCCAAAAAACAAACAAACTTATGTTGCCCTCAAGTCGAAAAATTGGGTCGGTCGGTCGGTCGATCGGTCTTTTTAAACTCGTGAAAACCAAGGAAATACTTGTTTACTGGTTAAAATCGTCAGTTTTTAATATTTGGGCCTATTTAAAAAAACAATAAAACAAAAAACAAATATTTCATATTTTTCGATCGGTCACTGAGGGCAACAAAACAATTTTTTTTTGGCCTTATTGATACATAGATGTGTATTACAAAGTCTACATGTGCACATCATCAGTGACACAACAGCTGATATTATAAATATGAATAATTTCAAATATACAATATTTGTTTGTTCCATCAGATCTGAGGCAAATGATTTAGCTATAAGATTAGCAAGACAACATACTAAACATCATGATGTTGTAACAGTTGATCAGTAAGTATGCAATCTGTTCCGTTAATAAAAACAGTTATAATATTGTCTGTTAACTTTTATGATTTTTCTATCCATTTATCCATCCATTCATCAATCTATCTACTCACCCATCCAGTTCATTTCTATCCATTTCAACCCTCCCTCCTTTCCTCTCTCCTCTCTTCGTTTGTTTATCCCTCCATCAACCCATTCACTCAAAAATGATGGGTCAAATACCTGTTTATTGTATCTTTTTTGTATTCTTGTTTTTGTACATTTTTGTATTCTAACGTTTACACCATTTTTTGACATCTTGTCTTCAGTGTTCACATTTTGTGATTAATAATATTTTAATGTTTATTTCAGTGCATATCATGGTCACTTGACTACGCTGATTGATATCAGTCCATATAAGTTCAATGCTCATGGAGGAGAGGGCAAAAAGGACTGGGTTCATGTGGTAAGTTACATACACAATATCAGTGGTACATTTACACAGCTTTAAGACTGAATACAAAACATAGGCAACAATACAGCTTCAACCTTTATTCAAGTCAATGTAAAAAAGTACACAGAACTGGCACGATAATACTGAATACTAAATTAAAAATATTTTTTATTGAATGATTGCTGGACTTGTTCTAGCATGATAATAATTTCACTTGTGGAACATAAAATAAATGAAAATAGATATTCTAGCAATTTATTGTCATTTTGTACATTCTTTTACTGAGAACCTTTGTTCGTCTACTGGTGGTTCACTTTATGTGTGTGTGTGCATATTTGTAAAATGAGATCACACAAATGAGCACTTAACTCTCTTGAAAATAAATTATATATGATGTAGTGTTAATAAAGCAATGTCCTAATGTGCTGTGTAGACGACAATATCACCAATGTTTGGAGTAATTTTAATGTTGTTGGATAATCCATACTGTAGAGTAAATCTTAGTATGATTTATCATAAACTAAAAAAAACACTAATACGCATGTACAGTGATTGTTATTATACATACCAAAACAAGAAGTGTACATGTGTAATAGAGAATTCCATAGAACAAATACTGAGATGTAAGCTACAATAACTGTGTTGTCATGTCACCATGAATCAGTGTCAAATACAGTCACCAATATACAGTATCAAACAATGTAAAAAATGTTTTCATACATATTGTGTCTTTAAATGGTTTTATTAGCTATACCTTGTAACATTCATTGTCTGGTGATTATAGCGTTTGCATTACACACTATCAGTTAAAAGATCACAATACTATTTTGGTTGAAATTGCAGTTGAATTATCTGGTGCATGACAAGTCGCAAATACCAGCAACTTACTAATTAGTCCCTGTTTCTGTGATGTCTCTAAAATTTTCTCAGAAATTCTGAAGCAGATATTAATGAAACTTCGCAGGTTGATGAACAAGTCTCTGCTAAATATGCACTTAATTTTTTTTTCTAGATCTGGAAATCTGGATCTAAGTGGGTTTTTTTCATGATTTTCATCCAAAATTACCTCTCCCAACAACACTGAGAGAACAACTGAGCATGCTCAGAATAAATAATTAGCTTAGATTGTGATGCTAGGGTTTTCAGTGATGTCATGACCTTGATCTGAATCAGTGACGGAAAGAAATTAATGCTGAAATCTTGAAAAAAGTGGTCAGAAATGTTGTTGTACATATATTATATTTTTAAACTGTAAAAATTGCATTCCATTATAAAAAGCCATCACTGAAATACCGGGTCAGTTGACAGTTATTGGGCGCGATTATTAGATTTGAGTAGCGCCACCACCGGCACAAAATCCGGTTTTTATATAAATGCAGAAGTGGTGTGGTAATTTCCTGCGTTTTTTTTCTTTTTGTGTTACTGGTATTTTAGAATCTTGGGCAAAAATCATAATTTAAAATGATGAACTAGTATGCAGGTCTAAAATACAACGTTGTTCTATAGGTTTTCGATCAAAAATCAACGAATGTATTAAAATATCATGTAATTTACAATGACCTTCATATTCATCATTCAAAATCAAAACATTAAGTTTGGCGTTTTTGTAAGTGTTGCATTTTTTTATAAAAACACTTTTTAATTTTCTGGTTTGACTCGGACAAAAAATATATTCGAATTCATAATTTAATATGAAAATATCAGTGCTACACTCAGCGGGCGTTGCAATTTTGACCTTTGCACTGGCGTGTATGACAAGCCATTTTCATTCTAATGATGGCGTTGGCGTAGCATGACGTGTTTATCGAGAGGTCTCTGAATCTTGAGTGTTTGGCCGTCTTCTTGCTGAATTTAAGGTAGAGATGCAGTTTATTTGGCTTGCTTTTTAATTGAGTAATTAGACAATGAAGATGGTATTATATATCCAGCATGTTATATATTTTCTGAAAGCTTATTATACAAACTTTGTAAAACTTGTCTTTATTTTAAATATCCAGAATGCGTTTTTGATTTTAGGTCAAAAATATGCTTTTTTGGACAAAAGTGGTTTAAAAAAAATTAGCTCAAAAACTTCAAGTCCGTTTGTGGGTAAAATTACATCACTGGATACCTTGGTATACTACTAATTCAAATGCGGTCCACTCATCTCTCTAAC